GGCGGTGAAGGAAGAGGCTGGTCGGCGGCGAAGGAAGAGGTTGGTCGGCTGGGGGCTGGTCGGCGGCGAAGGAAGAGGCCGGGGGGATTGGTCGGCGTTGGTAACTGGGTACTGGCCGGCGGGACACGTCGACGGCAAAGTGGTAGGGGGACTGATCGGCGGCAACCGGCGAAAGGGTTGGACAGAGAGTAGAGCAGAGGAGAGAGAAAATTTGGAGTAGAGAAAAAAGTTTTAGAGCGAAGGGAGTATAAATACATCAAAGAGAAGCAACAACGTAATCAGGAGGGGGTGAACCAGCCCACTCCCCGCTCCAGGGTGAATGAGAAGCTCGTACTAACCGATATGTTGTTTCATTAGTAGAGTTAATAACAAAACCAAAAAAAATCTCCACCACAAACAAGGACCAATAGATGCATGCTAGATCCCTTTTTTGATTATGATGTTATTAGAAATTTAGAATAGTGATGTAATAGGAAGACTTCCTCAATACTTATGGAAAAAATTATGAATTGACATTCATCTCTCAAAACTCTAAAAGTGTGTAAAACCATTTATTATATTGTAACAAAGTAAATAATGCTCAAAAAATAAAAAAGATAATGCATACGTGTAGTGATAGTCTAGTAAACCCACATTTTTTAAATAAAAAACTACTCCATGTCATGTATTACTTTCACACGAAGTATTAAAGTGCATATATATATTGGGAAAAAGCCTCCGAAAATTATTGCACTCCTTGAAGTACCTTCCTAGCCTTAATCTTTTGCGGCATGTCTAGCACTAAGGCTCTATTCCGTATAAATGATTTGATTAAATTTGATCTAAATTTTTGAAATTTTGATCTTATTAGATATGATCATATTGGATCTGATCTGATTGGGTCTGATACGATTGGATCTTATCAGATTGAATTCGATCTGATTAAATCTCGTGTAATGAATTTAATTTTGATCTAAATTAAACTTAAATTATTACAAAATTTAATTGTTTTGAAGTACTACAACTCATATATACATAAAAATAAGAAAATTAGCTAATCATTTATTTATTTAATTTTTTTAAATATTAAACATCTTTTCAAGATAATTACTTTTTTAATCTTTGTGAAAACTGAATAATCAATTTTATTTATATAGAGAAAAGAGAGTGTATTATTAATTGGTATTAATATTGATGCCATTATACAAAAATATAACATTCTATGTACATGTTAGGAAATAATGTATTGCATGTTACATATTAAACATCATATAAAATCTTCAACACTTATATTCCTTTCATATCTATCAATTTTGTTATAAACTCACCCTTGTGTATATTATACCATTTTAAAATTTAAAAATGAGTCTTTTAAGTGCAAAATTATTTATGCTTTTAAAAACTAAGTTTTGTATAATTCTTTTATAAACAAGTATTTTAAAATAATTCTTTTAAAGTATGAAAGATACACCTTTTAAGGTTTAACATTGCTTCCATGCATCATTCCTACAAGCTAGGTAATTACTAGAAATAGTGGTTTGTAGTTGAAATGTAATAATAATTATTATTATTATTATTATTATTATGATTATTATTATTATTATTATTATTATTATAAATATAATAATATAACAAAATATTAATTTTATTTTCAATTTTAATATTAATCAACTTTATGTGTGTATACCTTAAAATAAAGTCATGTGATTTAATCAAATAGTAATTATTATTTAATATTTGAAAAATATTAATATTTTTTTATATTTTTCCTGATTTGATATTATTGGATTTGATCCTGACCTAGTCCGATCTGATTGAATTTGATTTGATTGGATCTGATCTGATCTGATTAAATTTGATCTGATCAGATTTTAATAAAAATAAGTAATAAGTAGAAAAAAAAGTCTTATGGAACGGGCCCTAAAACTCTTGGAATTCATTACACCATTTGCCTCAGCCTATCTTTGAGTTGAAGTAGAATTATTATATTGATAATAGTTCTCTTTCTGTTATTATTAAAGATATTTTATATTTGTGTGCCTTCTTTCAATTTAGTGTTTTCTCGTTTCTGTTTTTAAATTTTAAATTTATTTTTAAAATTTTTAAAGTTTAAATTCCAAATTTTTAAGTTTAAATTTTAAATTTTTACTCTATTTTATAGTACAAGTTTTAAATGTTTTTTTTTCAGTTTTAAATTTTAATTTTTCTTATTATTTAATTTCTAAAATTTAAATACTAAATCTCACATGTTTAAATTTAAAATACAATTTTTAATCTTATATTTATATATTTATATATTTTGAATTTTGAATCTCAAATTTTTAGGTGTAATTATTGATTTGGGTTCTTTAATTATTAAATTGCTTGCTCACCACGGAGTATTAAAAAAAACTCGGTAGGAAAAATTCACCACACTACAGAAAATTAACGATTTTACAAGAATAATCCAAAAATCAATTAATTATACCATTAGTCTCAAAATTACTCTTTTTTTTCTTCAAAAACACTCCAACTGCCACCTTACTCGCACAATAAAATTGTTTAACATCTAAATAGATATTTAAAGTGATGACTTGACAAAAAATCACTTTTTTCAGTGGGTACAATGTTTTTGAAAAAAATAGAGAAATTGTGAGCGTAATGGTGTAATAAATTAATTTTCGGAGTATTCTGGAAATATTTCGGGGTGTATGGTGGTGATTTTTTCTAGAAAAAAAATATATTCAAATCATGATTCCTTCTTTTAAGCCCACAAAGAAAGCCAACCAATTAAATTGTATCACTAGAGAACTAAAATCTACTTTTGATATTGTTGACAATTGCATTCAAATTGGGCTTCTTTTTCACAGTATTGAGAGATAATGTAGCAAAGAAGTTTGTGGGTCAGATTCTTTGTAGACGAAAGTTATTTAAATGGATTTCAAGGAAAATGCTTGGTTCACAAACTTTACAAATTTAATATTTGTGAATTTCAATAAATAAAATTAAAATAGTCTAAAATAAATTATAAATTAAAAATTAAAAATTTAAACCATAAATAGTAAGTTTGTGAAGTTTGTGAGTATCGAAGGTAGCATTGCTCGGATGTCATTCATAGTCTTCTAGTTTTACTACTTTGATGTGCAAAAAAACATCATCAAAGTAGAGCATAAATAATAATCCGTACAAATTACAACATCACAAACAAAGTATATCTGAGGTTAAGGATCGGCGGCACATGAAGTTGGGAGAAAGGCACACCACCTATTGCTCTCTGCAAGTGCAGTGGCGGCATTCGTTCTTGGAAATTAGTATAACAAATGCAGTAAACAGAGAACTAGAGAAGGGAGAAGGGCCTTCATTTTTCTCCTCAGCTCTTCTAAGTTCATATAAGCATACTCTCCCACACCACCTGGTCGCAAATACCCCTTTCAAACCTGCATCTAGACCACACAAATAAACCCAGGTTGTTCAGGAAGCTTTAGAATACACGACTTGGTGTGATTGTCTACCTACCTACGAGAACACACGACTTGGTTTCCATCCCATGTATCAAACTCCAATATCTTAGACTTATATGTCGTTGGTTTTCTTTCTCTTACTAACATTGTACTTGCTAATACTTGTGCCTCAACATCAAATACAAACTACAAAACTAATGAGAGCATAACATGGCAGCACATGCAGATAAAGAAGCAACAAAACAACTCTTGAAGTACCTCATACTCATTTACACATGTTTTTTTTTACAATCTATTCCATGGAGACTTGATTATTGGCATGTAGATCCATGATAATTATAGCTTTGACCCTATTCACTCCTTTTTCCTCGACTTTTTTTCATAACAACCAGCCACAAGCAACATATAGCAGTAAAAACTAACAGAGAAAGAAATAGAACATTACGTAGACCAGTGATAGAGGATAACAAAGGTAGGTATGAACATTTCATATCATCTTTTGTTTCCTTAAAAAGAAAGTAGACGGATACTGTGGGACGGCCCAAAAAGGAATACTGGACAAATATTGCGCGACGGCGGGAGTACTAAAAGAGCAACAACAGCAACAACAACCCAGTTAAATCCCACAAGAGTAGGGTCTGGGGAGGGTGTGTGTACGCAGACCTTGCCCCTACTCGAAAGTAGAGAGGCTGTTTCCAAAGAGACCCCTAGCTCAACGTCGAAAGTTGCATTGTTTGACTAACTGCTACTTCATTAATTAAAGAAGCACAGACAGTTTAGAGATCCATTTTGATTTATTCCATCACACCCCAAAGCCAAAAAATGGTGAAATTTTGGCTCCATCGGAGATGATGGAAATAAGAGTACTAAAAGAGCATAAGTACACAATCGTCAATGAGCAATATATAAAGCATAAAACTTTTCTACTAACCTGCCATCAAACTTGAAAAAAGATTGAACCACACCAACTTCATATCTTCAGATCTCCATATTTTCCAATTCTTAGAAGACTTGGAATGCCCCAGGCCATCTCAGACAGATAGTCATTGTCAAAAGACTCTTCTAGTTTACTACATATCTCTTCCACAAGGTCCCCAACATATGGAAAACTAGATATCCCCTTCCAACATAGGATATGAAGTACGTCAATCGAACAAATCCTACCATTTGGCCCGAATGCAAACAGGTCCTCCGCCTGAAAGTACTCTGATATGATTAAGGTGGCGGCCACAAACTCAGAGAGAGCTGGATCGGATGAGCATACAAACCAAGGCATAGACAGCATACGTTCGGCACCCTCTTTTGATATAGATGTATCTAAAGGAACAAATAGCAATTCGAAATCTGGAATCCTTTCCTTAATTTCATTATACCACTTCTTGACATCAGCGAGATGCATTAAGCGTTTCTCAACCCTGCCAACATAAAGAAGAACATTCTTGCCCCGAAGAGAAGTCACAGAAAGTTGAGCATCAGGATCATTCCCGCGATGAATATTTCCAGTCGATCTCTCTAGTAAGGACTCCAAGCTGAGCTCATTCAATCTCTTGAAAGTATTCCGAATAAAACTGTCTCTGGTAAAAGGATATGTATCGATCCCTAGATTTAGTATCACTTCTTTTCCATACGGTTCTACACATTCGCCATGTGAAATAATTACAAACATATCTCCTAACTCAACAGGAAATAGCTCGTTTAACCTATGACATGTTGTGTTGTTGAAGGGTAAAATCCACCAGGACAGTCCGCGCTTCTTCAAAACAGATTCTATAACCTCTTGGAATACCTCCGGGTTGTAACCTTGATAAGGTATACATGTAAACACAATCTCAAGCTCATGCCCTAAAGTTTCACAATGCTGACAGACCTTCTCTAGCAAAGGGATGTCAGCTCCCCAACCGTTTGCGCACAAGTATAACACAACAAACTTTGTTTTGAGAGCTGAAATGCATATCTTCTCTGCTTGTCCATTTACCTTACGAAGAAGTAAAGAGGAGGAATCGCCGAGCAACAGCTCCTCAATGGACTTGCCTTCCCAATTTCTGTTGAAGTAAAGAAGGAGCTTGTCATCAGTGAATGGAAATGCACCGCCACCGCAATGATGCAAGCACCAAATGTGTTCTTGCACCACATTCTGATTGGGATCAACAATGAATCCACCCAAGCCAAATGAAAGTCGTTTTAAAGACATGCATATTTTGTCTCGTTGAAATGCATGTTCGTATGGAACTACAAGGCAATTAAAAGCTGACATGAAGTGGTCAAAAACACCCTTCTCATCCTTCCAGGGTTGCTTCATCTTAATAACCAGGACCATCTCAAAGTCGTTTCTACTAGACAGCTCATGGGACAACTGGGAAAAACTTTGGGCTAAACAGGCCTGACAACCATCAAAGACAACGGGCACCACGAAACAACAGAGACAAACATATTTTCCTTTAAGGCTCTCAACTTGGACTTGATCAAAGCTTTTGCTACGAAGGAGGTAGTTGCTATTAGCATCACTACTCTTGTTTGATGACAATAAGGATATCACATCGATGTATTCGCCTTTCTTAATGGTTATAGGAACCACTTCCATGTCATCAGGATACACCGGCTTCATATTATCAAACTTTTTAACGGTAGATTCTTTCACCCTGCCCTTTTGTATAACTTGTGGCTTCCCTTTTATTAGTCGAAATCTCTTGCTAGGAGGTTCTTCCGAGGATAGTAGACCTTCAATTTTTGATGTGAAAATTTTTTTCTCGTCCTCATACTTGGCAGGAAAGAAGATATCATTACCTTCCAGATTTTCCATCTTGAAATTTGAAAAGGCGACCTGTCACAAACAGACACAGGTCAGTCAATAATTCTTTCAATATACAACGTGATTACAAATTCACAACACTTGCAAACCAACTCTATCGAAATCATATATGAACATCAGTGAAACCATATGAAGAGCAGTAGAGGGAATTCAACCGCGGCTCAAACAACAGATTTTACAATTCGGAACAACAACAAAACATTAAAATTCCGATAAAACCATGGCGTTTTGAGAAGCGTTTTGGCCATGGGATTATACCTTGAAACGTGTCTTCTTCGTCCCCTGCTCCTGCTACGATGGTCCGTCCGTCGTTATTAGGCGGTGGCGTACTCTAATGTTTGGGATCGCCTCTTTTCCTTCCTTATCTTATCATCGTCTTATGTTGTAATCGCTGTCCACTTGTCCTTAGGACTCGGTGTTTTAGTGGGCCTGGCCCAATCAATTTGTTTATCGCTTAGAACATTACTAAAATAAATGTACGCCGTCCGGGGCTTCTTCTAGTGTTTAATGCTCTCTAGCGTTAAACACCACTCCCTACGTCCCTATTGGGCGTCAACTTCATTGTTAAATCATTTAACGAGAAGAAAAGAGAAGTGAGAAGCATGTTGCCCCAATGCCCCCCCCCCCCACCCCCCGACGGTCCAAAATCAAGTCATTCGACTTTTTTTAAAAAATAAAAGTCAAACTATAAATACCCTCTATGATGGGTGTATTCAACCCAGAACTGGCCAAGGAATGCGCTCAAATATCCAACCGGTCAAGGTCGATGTTTCGGAGTATGAGGCCTAAAACTATAGTAAAAAGATGATTGGTTGACCAAAGGATTGATCGGTACACTTCGAAGAGTCTACCAGTCAAACCACTTTATTCCCTCATTCATTTCCAATTTCAGTAAACTCATCCATCAGAAATCACCCGGTATGATTTCTGGGGTTGAAGAGTGCCGGCAAGGAAAAATCCAAAGGGAATTGGATCGTAGCGGTCAAATTCAACGGAAGATCATTGGAGATATTCGGACAATCAATCCAACGCGCTAAGTGACAAAGATGTCACTTTCCTAGCTAGGTGACAAGGTCAGTAGAAGACAGAGGCAGTCACCTCACTGTCCTCACACCACCCAGGAACATCCCCCTGATGTGGATGCGCGGCGCCTTGTCTCTCCTCTAGCTTACTATAAATACATGTGTAGTCCTCTGGCTTGTCTATGAGTTAGGAAAAATAATGTAGCCAACTATATTTAGACACATTAATGAAACCTATAAATAGGATAAGTTAATGATTTAAAATCTAATTAATCAAGAAGCTAATCTAATCTAAAATTATTACCTTAGCCCATATACATGTTCGATTCATACCTGCTCCTAAATCATTGATTGAATTAATTATATTACTGTTATTATCTTGCTTGAAACTTGATTGCTCTAAGTTCAAGATTAATTGTTCTGTTAAATTAAAATATCAAGTTAATTAACAAATACTTCCCTTTGTCAATCCTTGTGAGACGACCCGAGTTATTCTCGGTTAATTTAGTGACTTACCGCTATATTTAGTTTCGTCTGTTTCGCGCCAGGAAGAAGAAACTAAAAGCCAGACTCGTGAACCGGTGAGGAATAGGCTGACACACCCGAGAGATCGCGTACAGAAGATAGAGGCAAAGCTGAAGAGGCTGGAGAAGAAAGTTGGGGAGAAGAATGACAGGGAAAAACCCCTTGTTAGATCTTCATTCACAGCGAGCGTCCACTTGACCCCATTCCCGCGAAAGCTCAAGGTCGATGCACCGAGATTCACCGGGAAAGGGGGTCTCGAGATTCACTTGGACTACTTCAATCAAAGTGCAACCATGAATGGATGCACAGACGAAGAAAGGTGCCTCATTTTCTTCCAAACCTTGCAAAATCGGGCCACCGAAAGATTCAATAATATGGTGGACACACAAAATATTTTAAATTTGGTAAATTCTATGGTAGACCCAAAGTCCACCATGGATTTACATATGACAAAACTATGCATTTCCTTATTACGTAAATAAGCATCTATTTTTTAATTTAAAAAAATTATGTGAGAATGTCCACAAAAATGATATGCACTCGAGGTGCACCTAAACACTCTTTAAATTTAGATGTCGAGGTAGAATGTTTATCTGTTTAAGATACATTAGTGAAATCATGCTTAAAATCTTAAAAATTAAATTAAATTAAATTGAATCTAGAATCTTAAAAATAAAACTTACATTTGGTGAAGTAATTAGAGGTAAATTTAAAGTTTGCTATATTAGTTTCATTTAAATAATAAAGTTGTGGTAATTTGGACATTCAATATAAAATATCGTTATTTGAATGTAATAATTTTGTGCATGTTTGAATATTGTTGACTTTCAAAAGAAAAGTTTGTCTCATGCACATATCTTAGTATGATTACACAAGAGATATAAACTTCACTTGCTCGAGCAAATTGATCATGCGATATGTGTAGAGGTTCCTAATAAAGACAGATATCATAGATTGTATGAGTCTGTAACTTGATTGATGACACATGATCCATATGACATAGTTGATCCAAGATCTCTATATATGAACAATGGTAAACACGTGAAATATTTTCCTAAAAAATTTGTTGATAAGACATCATTTGATGAGAATAACTACCCGATTTACAGAAGAAGAAACATGGGGGTCACTACAATGGGAAAGAATATTGACTTGGATAATCAATTTGTTATGTTATACAACTCGCAACTATTGATGAGGTATCAAGATCAATCAACATTAAATATTGGAATTCAATCAAATATTTTTGTAAATATGTGAATAAAGGACTAGATAAAAGAGATGTTGCAGTTACTCAATATAGCTTTGACATTGTTGATAATATGGTGTATGATGAAACAGAGAGGTAATATGATTGTCATTACGTATGTGCATGTGAAGTCTCTTAGAGAATCCTCTCTTTTGATATACACCACAGGTGGCCTTCACTATTAAAGTTGAATTTTCATCACCCAAGGTTGAAATTTGTAACCTTTAGAGACCTACAAAAGCTAAAAGATGTTTGAAGCTTGGATGATTTTCAATACACAATATAATGCAGCATAAAATATGATGTATGCAAAGAGTTTCCAGAATATTCTGTGTACAGCCACACAGTGTAGAAATGGTTTTGAGCAACCAAGACTATAAATTGACATGCTAAAATATGTTCCTATAGAAACCAGAGAGTTATACTACTCAAGAATACAATTTACTATTCAACAAGGGTGTAGACATGATGGATACCCTGGACATGGGGTATCCAGTCTTTGTATAATCTTAATTGGGGCGGTTCAGTTTGTTAGACCGGCCCGTTAGTTGTATGTTAATTATTTATTTAAGGGCGGCCCAGTCTGTTGGGCCGGACCATTAGTCCGAAACCCTAACCCTAACTCTCCCTATTTATACCCCTCTGCTTGGAAGAGGGAGGAAAAAAAGAAGGCTACATTATTCATCATCTTCATCTAATCTACATCTTTTCTCCTTTCCCTCTACCTATGGATTTCATAATCCAACAATGATGCTCTCATTGAGAGAGACGAGCATCAAGAATGCTCTCTCCTTTTTTTATTTTTCTTTTCATTCTTTTCTCATTCTAGAGAATCCAAATTCACGGCCACATGGAGTTGCTTGTTCCCTCCTACTGCTCCGCCGACGAGCCAAGTTTGGGGATCTCACTGAGTGAATTTCCTTGATCCATTAGAGCAGCCATGGTGACAGTGAAAAAAGTGCTTGCCGGGGTCATATTCGGTTCTGGAGAAGAATCACGGCTGAAGCTAGTCACCTTTGGATGCTGAAGACTACAACGCCCAGTCGTAGATCTCGCCACGAAAGTTCACCCCGCATCGAAAATGGCTAACTGTCAACCACCGATTTGTTCGATTGAAACTAGTGATGAGAGGAACATCAGAGGATGGCTACTGGGAGCTTCGCCGACTGAGGGTGGAGCTAGGCAGATCCTTCTTCAGGATGAAGACCTAGCAACGGTGGTAGAATCGAAGTTTGGTGGGGGGTGTTCTTGTAAGATTATTTTCAAAATCGAGTGGGAACCCTCGACTGAAACTCCGGAAGCAACACTCCCATGGTCTCTGAACTCCTGCCACATCGCCCAGACTCCGGCAGACCGCCCTAGGAAGCTCGAACAACCACAGGGAGTTAGGTCTCACAGCAATCAGGAAAAGAACAGCATGAGAAAGACTCGACCCAATGCAAATTTCGAACCGTTACAGCAGACGAGAGGAGACGGTGAGGACTGGTCGTCGGAGCAACCGGGAGCAATTTTGACCTGAGCCGGACAAATCTCCTTTCCCCGCTGACGATGCCGGGCAGGAGTCCAACAACTCCAGGGGCTCCAGGTCTGACGGCGGTTATGTGCGAAGCTACCAGTGCAGTCCACAAGTCTTTGTCGAGGACCGACGACCAGCGACACGACCTGCAATCCCTGCCGCTGACGAGAAGACATCGTGAAGACCGCAACGCATGCTCCCTCCTTCTGATTGGAATTTGAAGCTGTTGTCCCATACGCTCATTGAAGCTGTTGCAGTTGGAGTTTAAATCTTCTTATTTCACACCGTCGCCGGGTGGTGCTTATTCATGTGCAAATCAAGTTGTCACCGGATTCGAATTTGAGGCGGGAGGAGAATCCTAGCTGAAGCAAGCCCAAAGGCCGAAGACTGCATCGGCCGGCGGTAGATTTCGCCTCGGAAGCTTACCTCCGTTTTCGAGAACTGTCAACCATCGATTTGCTCGGTTAAAACCAGTGACGAGAGCAAACCTCAGATCTCTTGTGCGAAAGTTGAGATTCACATA